GCCGGGGATTCGGCTGCAGAGACGGCCGGCAGGCCTCTCGGACCACGGCGGGAACGGCCGGTGGACGGAGGCGGGCAGACGTCCAGACGGAGACGGACAGACGGAGAAGGGTAGACGGAGAGGGAAACAGGCGGACACACGGAGATGGAAACAGATGGGCAGGCGGATAGACGGAGACGAAGAGAATAAGGCAGACAAAGACAAACAGACAGACGGACACGGAGACGGATAGACGGAGACGGACAGACGGAGAGGGAAAGAAAGACGCGGAGACACAGACACAAATTAAGACGAAAAAGAACGGACAGACTCTAGTCAATGGAGATATAATATAAAACGGTTGACAAATAATGGAGGAATATAGTAAGTCGTCGAGCGGTGTTCGGAATCTAAGAAGCTGGAATCTAAGAAGTGGCCCGTCACCAAATTCACAAACGTGCTGATACATGAAGATGTGATCTGCAACTTGCAAGTGGTGTATAACATTCAAAAGCCATCAGTAACAAACGGCGGCTACGCCGTGCGGTAACGTTGCGACAACCGCTAGCCATGCCACAACTGCCATGGCTCGTGGTAAGAAAAACTTAAAACACTGCGCTACACAAAAGGTGCTGACAGATTCCGTGCATTAATTACACCGTATACCTGCTCCTTGAGAACGCTACCACAGCACGGATTGCATGTTTCGCCGCCCTCCGTGTCTCGCCAACGCCGCGCCCGACAGCACCTGTATCCTAATGCGCCAAAACCAGTTCTGGGCCGACACAACATTTGTCATCATACCAGGGCTTATTTGAACGTGTTGCCTGTTGCAGTGTTGCAGTGTTTTGGCAACGGCGACTGCCTGACTGTGCCACCTTGGTGGCAAGTGGTTTTATTTAATCATGTCGACACTCTGCCACCATAGCCCCGTGAACGGTGGCATTATCTGCATATGTCAAGACAGCCCGGCGCAGGTGACCGTTTCCCAATATAGTCTCCGTACCGTTGGTAACATCCTGTGGCCACTTTCACCCGGTGAGCAGTGCGCCGGTCCGCGCGCTGGGGTCTGTCCTCTGAGGACTGTCTCACACCGTTCTCACCCGTTAGCGCAATTCTCACACCTCTCACAGAGGTCAGAACAGCCACGCCGCAGGGTTCTACTGTGAGAACCGTTCACGTTATCTATATCCGGTATGCCACAAGATCAGTATACCTAATGTTCAGTAACCTGCAGGCTGCATACCTAAACCTATATAATAATATATAGGCCACAAATTCGATCTACCTCAGTTTTCTTTTTTGTGGACACACAAAGTATACGCATCTCGCGCATTTTATCTATATACCTATGTATATAAGAGATAAGGATATATCGCAACACCTTTGTCATTGAGACGGCGGGTGAGGGACCGAGAAAGGCCAGAGATCTGGGGGACCGGCGGACTGTCATTACACGCTCTGCCTCACACCACCTGCTCCCGAGAATCGCCAGTTGGATAGACACGCTGTTAGTCACCACTCAGCAAGGTATGACCATTGTGGCTGCATTAACAGAATGTACATAGGAAGTTGCCAAACACATGAAATTATTCTCTCGATGTTTCGCCTTGTCGCAAGAGCAGTTGACGAGCCTGACAGAAACTGTCGGTAATCAAAGCTCCAAATTCAGGACGAAATTGGAAATCACTACTATGCACACCGAAGCGAATCACCGTCCCATGATGACCGAACAAACAAACGCCCATCGAAAGCGATTAGAATCGGAGCACCTGCCCGAATGGTGAGTATCTAACTACATAGGATACGCACGGCTGAGCGGGCTTCAGCTGAAGTTAATCGTCCCTGCCTTTCATTTCTTCAGTCCGTACATACACCCCCTCACCACCCTCCGTACTCTTGTTTGCTTGTTGCCCTCCGTACTCCGTACAGTCTGTACGGAGTCCGTACACTCTTACAGTCCATAACCTCTGCGCTTCTCCCCTTTATGTCCATGCTGCGTAAGCTCGATGCAAGCGAAAGGCTGCTCGGTAGTCGACGAGCCAGCATCCATCGTCACTTACCTCACAGCCCCTCCGCTGCCCCTCTCGCACCCCTCCCCCTCCCCGCTGATGATGGTGACCCAGTTGGAAGAGTTGCCAAAGCGCGCCCGCCCGCCGTTGGTCAATGCTGTGGCGGCAGCAGCAGCAGCGGTGGTCCGTGACCCACATGGCTGTGTGCGTGACTCCACCATTACGTGTTTGGTGGGGAAACACGCAGGTGCGTGCCCTGACTGGCATAACTGAGCTAGCGACGAGCTGCAGAGGGAAGGCAGATGACAGGCCTGCAGAGGTGCAGCAGATGACAGAGCAGCGAGGTTGCAGGGTACGACAGGCCTGTATTGGTGCAGACGGAGAAAGGAGGGAGTGCAGAGGGTAAGCGTGCACCTGATGTAAGACTTCATACAAATGCAGCATGAACGAGCGAGTTATTAGGCAGAGAGTTATTATCCAAACCTACTCCCACCCCTGATGCGAGCACCCATTGCAAGCGAGTATAGGTACTGGGCACACCACGCATCAATCTTTTCCCAGTGTTCCTTGCCCTCGTCCCCCTGTTCAGGCTGTCCGTCACACACACCGTCATTATCCCGCCACATTCTGGCTCGAAGTGTCGGACGTGACGGACGTGACGGCCATGTCAGCCGCGGCGGACGCTCGGCGGCCCGGTCACGGCCAGCTCGGCCGGCGCCGCCCCGGGCCAGGCTTGGCCTTCAGCGAGCGCTCCGTCAGCCCCGGAAGTACCGGCGCCCCTCAGCTCTCCTTCGGCAGACACACAGTCAACAGTGACCTTCTGCGGTCAGCGCCGGCAGCGGCGACCTCGGCACTCTGCCCGCCTCCTGGCTCGGCCGACTGTCCGCTCTCACTGCAACTGGGGGCGCGGCTCGAGCGTCTCCGACTATCCCAGTCTCGGCTGATCCTCCCCCCTCCCCCAGATGCACTAACTCACTGCCCAGATCCAGAGCTGCCACACGTCGCGCTCATTCCATTCATTAAAACACGGAACTCCTGCACTCTGACGGACCATTGCCGCTAGGCTCATAAGCTTTTCCTGTGTTTAGACGACGGACTGAGGCCGCCGCAGCTCCCGCTCAGTAGTTTCCGGCCTAGCCGCTAGATGGCAGGCGGGCGTTCTATACGGCGGCACGCGGCTGGCAGCGCGGCCTCACCTTGTCCCATTTCGGTGCCTGTTTACCACCGCCAGAGATAAACAACAAGCGCCGCAACAACGCGGAACCGCGCCAGACCGTGACGTCACCGGCTCTGTGACGTCACAAGGCCCGTCAGCTGGTCCAGGCCACTTAGTGACGTCACGCGTACCCAAAAATATGTGCCCTGGGGTCATTACGAACGGAGACTACGCGCCCGTCTGTTTGCTAACTTGAGCAGAAGGGCACTCGTCCTTTGTTACCGGGGAGGGGTATGATAGCGTCAAAATTTGTTAACGCATATGGTGGTGCGGGTCAGCCTCAATACATGGACCACTCAATGGACCAGCGGCAGTGCTGGCATGCTTTGATGTGTGCGGCACTGGGCGGCTGCATGGATGGCACGACAGCCCGCTGCCACCGGCCTGTATCCCGCTCCAAATCGGCTCACATGAGTCATCTGCCTCATACGGGCAGTGAATCAGAGCCCGCATTACACACAGCCGTGATGCACGCTCGTCCGGCGATAACCAGCGCGCAAACCACTTTGACGACTATAGTAACGTTTGAATCCCGTGTGCTATCAAATCGGTATCAATTATCATTGAGAGCACTGTAGTACCTACTGACGCCGATATACAGCATAGCCCGGTGCCGCTGTCAGTTGTGATGCATCGTGCCAAACGCACATCTCTCTGCTCGTCCCTCGACCGTTCTATAGCGCCGGGCCTACCAGTAGGATCCTGTGGCCTTCATTCACCGCCACATTGAAGCTGTGTTTTTTTTCCACCCCGCATGTGCACTGCAGTGGACCTCGCTCCCTGTCAGCCTGCAGGCACGGAGCGAGGCACCTGTCGAAACGACTCCTCTGTGTGCTGACGAGGACCGGTCCATTACAAACTAGGCGTCTAATTGGCCGACACTGGGAACGCTTCTTGTCGGGCGCCCGACACTATCGGCTCGTCGCCAGCCCCCCCCCCCCCTATGCCCCCCCCCCGCGGCACAGTCATCGGCGGCCACCTGTGAGTGGCGCTGCTGGCTGGGAATAGCTGGGTCCAATACTGGGTCAGCCGAGTGCAGTAGGTCAGCGCGGCACCGCGGCGACCCTGACCCAGATACCAGGCGGCCGCGCCGCGCCGCCGCCGCCGCTGGCGCGTCACTTTCGCTGTCGGCCGGCGGGCGGCGCTGGCGGCGCGCTGCAGTTGGGTCAAGGTGACCCGGTGCGCGGCCGGCCAGCCCGCCCAGCCGCCGCCGCCGTACAGGGTCATGTTCGTTCCGGCGGGTTTGGAGCGGGCCACTTCCTGTCGCTCCAACCCGTCCGCGGCTGATACACCGCGCTGGGACCGCCGGCCCGAGCCACTGACGCCCTGATGAGGCTGTGTACGATCGGCGCTCTGTCTCCGGCAGCCCGGGACGGGACGGGGAGGAGAATGAGCTGGCAGCCTGCCCGGCGACTGTCCCAGAGCACGGTCCATCTGTCCGCCGCCGCAGACGGATCTCCGGATGTGTTTGCTTACGTTCATTCTGCGACATCCGGTGATACGTCAGAATGACTTCCCCAGAGTACGTCGCAGGTCAAGCTCGCGCTGACAGGCAATATACCATCGCAACTGCCCTCTACGCTTCATGGCCTCTAAAACACATCGCCGTTAGGTTGATGCTCCATAAATCTCTGAATTTAATGCTCAATGCTCATGCCTCCTGGTTCTCAGCATCCAAGATACCTACCCTTACATAACCAGACAAAAGTAAACGTGTCGATACTTTTAAAGTGAGATCGTCCATCAGTTGCTCGCCGCCTCGGGGCCTCCACCACTCGGCGCTCTGTACTCACCCGGAGGTCCTTGAAGAAGATGGAGTTGCGCGCCCAGTCCACCTGTCTGAACAGGTTGGTGTCCAGCACCTTGCAGAGCAGCTCGAACAGGTCCACCTCGCACTGGTTATACGTCTGGGTCTGCAGCAGGCTGAACAGCTGCTGTTGCCAGTCGCGGTCGTCCAGCGAGGCGACCAGCTCGCGCACGATGGGCGGTACATCGCCAGCGCGTCCGGCCGCCCACGCCTCGCCGCCGGCGCCGCCGAGCAGTGGCGAGCACGACGAGTCGGGGGACGAGGCGGACGTGGAGCTGAGCACCGGGTACTGGATCTCCTGTTTGATGGAGATGCCGGCGCCGGCGCCGCCGCCGTACGACACCGGCAGCGAGGTGGTCGGCGTGGCGTAGCTGATGGTGACCGCCTCGGTACCCACTGTCGGCAGGCTCACCCGCTGCGGCGACATCAGCTGCATCTGCCGGATCTGCTGCATCTTGCGCGCCCGGTCCCGTTTGTACATGGGGCCGAACTTGTTGCGACCGCCTCGCATCCGGTCCTGGCGCACCGCTGTAAAGGAGACAGAGCGATAGTCAGTCGTGAGGTAGGGGAGAGCTGCAGAGCGAGCGTCAGTCGCGAGAAAAGAGGACTGGACCCCCAGGAGAGTTGCTGAGGATAACTCTCATCGTTTCGACGAGCGATGAACAGTGAGAACCAGATAAATAAGTACAGGGACAGCACACACGGTACATACCACGAATGCGACAGGGAACGGTCTTCACGATACGGCAGTTGGATAAGAGATGGGCGGGCGTTCAAACGTCAAGTGGCCACTTGGATATTATCATTGACCGGTAGACGGCACACCAACGGATACGAGCATTGAAACACAGCAATTCAGCGATCTACATAGGCACAGTTGTAACATTCGATGGCTCGACAGAGCAAAGACAAACAGTTCCATGAGCAGACGCATACACACACGGACGACCTGAGAGCGCAGAGTCCACCTCAGCCGAGCCGTGACACGTCTTTGAACCGGTGCCAGTTGGACTTCCTCTACCTAGAGTGCAAATATACCGACGAAACCGTCCATCCATACATCCATCCGTTCATCCATATGCAATATACATACATACATTCATGCATCATACAAACATAGCCCATAGGGACACCAATAGGTAAAACACTTCCATGAATAGAGGACTGGGATCAGGGTCACGGGTTTTATAGGACGGAAAACGACATTTCCGACGCCTCTTTCATGCGCCCCGCCCCACTCTAGAGACGCGCAGCCTACAAATACCTACTCGCAAAGGCCCATATGTCTTGACCCAGTGACCCATATTTGGGGTGCTATCGATAAACAGGACGGTCGAACAAACGTGTACGTAAACGCACTACGATAAGCCGGCGATAAGATGTCTGGGCGACAATCTGGACATCTTATCGGCCAGATACTGGGCGACACGCTACTCGGGCTCGTCAAAACGCCCTGCGTGACCGAATGAGCCCGCAAACCTCCTGTGTAACAGCGGACATCCCGCCGATATTGCACGCGACGGCGAGCAGTGAATGCTCGCCAATGCGTGGTTGGAGTGGGTTGATTGCTGAGTTGGGTCCTGCAGGCATGCTCGTGACCTGACGCCACGAAACACCTAATCAGCTCTGTAAACAACGTACGGGGACAGTCTCATAAAGAGACAGCTACAGAAAACATGAGCAGAGGCATCTGCAGAAGCTTCCCTCCTACGATTTTCCCTATGGATACCTGCAAAGAATCTGCTTCCTAATCGTTCCACATACATTAAGTTTATCTCGGCCGGGCATTTCAATTTCATTATAACATTATTAAAATAACCCTTCAACGAGCTTCCGTTCAATATCAACGTAGCATTCTCATTACGTGAGCACGTTTGTGGATCCACATTTTATGAGGCGGTCCCACATCGACCAAACGGGCCGATCCATTGGAACTGTCGAATTTCGGACGGCGCGGTGGGTGTCGGCACGGAACTTGACAGAGAGTTGCGCAGTTAGCTACCCAGAAATGTAGCATGTGCTATGCATACGGTGGGCCGGCCCTCATTATTGCCGTTCGTGCACAGTCTGAATATGAAAACAATAAAATGAAATGGATTTATTTTCTAATTTCTTGCTTCTACTGTCATGTCAGAGGCGGCAATGTCAGCGGTTCGTCGACGTCTACCACCTACCAGTCCTATGAGACATCATCTAGCCCACCAATCTCCCATAAACCGTCCCGCCGCCGCCCTAATATCTCCACCCGAGTGAGAGACGACGGAGCCGGCCAGGACCGTCGCCGCCGGCCCCTTTCACCTGGTGGTCCGGTCCGCAGGACCACACAGCAGACCACTGTGGCACCTCCGCCGCCTGGCCGTCCTTTCCCCACCCCTCCCCCGCACCCACAGGCATGCCGTCCCGATGATCAGGGCCACCCCCGACCCAAAAGGAAAGGATGGAGCGCATTTATGATGGGGTTTATGATCGGATTTATGATGAGAGTGGTATCGGTGCGGATGGATAAAAAGTAACTGAGGCTACATGAGAGTAAACGTGCCCGTAAAACATACGCTGGAATAATGCCGTTCACCTGTCGAACGTTTCCAGCCCAGTTCAGTTGACTCACAAATACGTGAACAGTGGCAGAAAAAAAGCAGCGGTGAGCGGGTCGATCCAGCCTTCAAACACCTAGTTCTGGTTAAGTCGTGACAAAGCGACACTTATCGGCCGGCATTGCCGCACGTTTTGATGGGTCCCATGCAGAGGGTCCGTCCCGCAATATTTGCACCGTTTGTGGGGCGAGCAAAACACCGGGCAAACTAGAGCGGCCTGTTTTCCATTCCCCTCGTGTTTTCGGCATCGCGGAGCGTTGGCCCCGTACCGCAAACGGGGTCCCTCCCCGGTGGAACAACAGGTGGATAGTGGCCCGCTCTCTCGGGGTGAGGGGTGGAACGGTCGGGCCGGGGCCGCACAAACCAGGGGAGCCGAGTGAACGGTCCCCGGCCAGTACACAGGTACAGGTGGCCCGCTGGGGAGCGCGCCGGGCCGCGGAGAGGGGGACGGGTACCGCGGGTGAAAGGCGGCCGCCGCGCCGACCACGCGGCGACACGTGGTGCCACGGGACTCTGTGTGGCGGAGGGCAGGGAACGGGGTCGGCCCAGAGGTGGAACTTTTTGTTTTTCATTGGGGTTGTAGTTTGCCGGAGCCCAGGGTATACCCCCACCAAAACCCGAAAAGTCCCCGGATTCGGCCCACTATTTTTCGGGAGGGGCCCACATTTTCATTTACAAAAAAAGTGGTCCATCTTCAGGGAGAGACGGCTGACCCTGTCGTCCCTCCATTGGCTATGTGCCTGGTTGTAGGTACTCGGGTATCGCCACCATGGTCGTGGCCATAGGCGGTGGAACGGGGAGGGCACCGGGGCACCTCGCCCCCTTTGATTTTGGCATTTTAACATTAGCCCTACCTATGGGCGTTGCATGGAAAGAATGGGACCAAAAGTCGGCAGTGCCCCCTTTAATTGAGGGTGTTCCGCCGCCACTGGTCGTGGCGATTCGGAAACGGTAGGTAAACGCCCAAAATCACAGTCCCTATGAATACTTGTTTCTTTCCACATTTGACACAAACATTACTCAGTATTGGAGCAAGGCCCTTTCCCTACGAGTAACAATTTGAGCCACTCGTGGCAATTGACAAAGAAGACCTAAACAGGAATACGTTATTTTTAGACTAAAAAACTTAAAACGAGTCCATCTTTGTATATTAATGCCACGGTCGTCTGGAATACGTCTATTACGGAAACGGGTAGTAGAAACCGGAATAGTGACTGATCAGACATGAGATATTTTGCAAACGAGGACAACATACCGAACACAATGCCGCAAAGGAACCTAACACTGGATCTAAATAATCTCAATCTGAACAAAATTAAATAATAAATGCCAGAGCCTTTTCATATCACCGAATACTTCAGATGATCTTTTTCAACGAGCAAATGTAGGTATTATGCATTGTTTGGCGAATCATAAACAAAACTCATACTCTTCACAGCCACGATGGCTAGGAACACATCACGGCTTGTCTGTCTGCCCCTGAGACACTGAACGCACACCGATTTTCAGCTTAATCGAAAGACCCCACCGTTTACCGTTAAAATGTAAATTGGCCGTTAATTCGTTAACGTTGCAAAATACCACCCCAAAGAGGTACATTTTTGGAATAAGCGCATCGAGGAGGCCCTGTACACCGATTTTCAGCCAAATCGAAAGACCCGTCGTTTCCCGTTAAAATGTTGATTGGCCGTTTACTCGTTAACGGTGCAAAATACCACCCCAAAGAGGTATAATTTTCGGAATCAGCGCATCGAGGAGGCCCTGTATACCGATTTTCGGCTAAATCGAAAGACCCCGCCGTTTCCCATTAAAACCGGTAACGGTGCAAAATACCACCCCAAAAAGGTATTTACATTTTCGGAATCAGCGCATCGAGGAGGCCCTGTATACAGATTTTCAGCCAAATCGAAAGACGCCGCCGTTTCCCGTTAAAATGTTAATTGGTCGTTAACTCGTTAACGGTGCAAAATACCACCCCAAAGAGGCACATTTTCGGAATCAGCGCATCGAGGATGCCCTGAATACCGATTTTCAGCCAAATCGAAAGACCCCGCCGTTTCCCGTTAAAATGTTAACCCGGCAGTTGCTGGGGTATTTCGCCACCCACCGTTTGCTGGGGGGGGGCGTTAAACGCCCCCAGCCGATAACTCGAGAACCAATAGGCGCAGCGAAACGCACGAGGCGGCAAACGAAAGAGCGCGACGAGACGCTTCAGATGAGTACTTTAAAGTTGAATTTTGAGGTCACAGGTCGGGTCAAGGTCAGGTCAAACACCTGAAATCGGGCTTTCAGTAGCATGGACTTCAGGACTTCGCAATGGGCGCCTCTCGCCATAAACTCTGTCACAACGGTGCACAATCCATCTTATAAGGCCTACAAGAGTGTCAGCTCCATGTAGGGGTCAGTCAAGCATAGGTCAGGGTCAAGGTCAGGTCAACCGAGTAGGCACATATCCCCGAAAATCAAAACTGATATTCGCAGCCTGTGACACATGTTTGGTCGTTAACTCGTTAACGGTGCAAAATACCACCTCAAAGAAGTACATTTTCGGAATCAGCGCATCAAACAGGCCCTGTATACCAATTTTCAGCTAAATCGAAAGAACCCGCCGTTTCCCGTTAAAATGTTAATTAGTCGTTAACTCGTTAACGGTGCAAAATACCACCCCAAAGAGGCATATTTTCGGAATCAGCGCATCGAGGAGGCCCTGGATACCGATTTTCAGCCAAATCGAAAGACACCGAAATATGCTGCTGTGAGGCTGATATTCGTTGCTGCTGAATTGACAGACGTCGCCAAAACCTTGCATTTGTATCAGATGCGTCATGTTGGCTTACATGTGACTTAGTTTGCATTCTGTTCGCAAACCTGTCAGTAAGATTATCAGCACTAATTATCGCACAGGATTGGTTGTTATGGTCGTCGACGTTGGTT